TATAGGAAAGATCTTTGAGTAAAATAGGGTAGATAACTCTTAGTTACTTGATCAAAACTTGCAAAACATCCTTGCTATTTTCAAAACACACCTTACAACACAATTTCAAAATATTTCCCAAATCAAACTTTCAAAACATTGAAACATATTTTCAAAAGACATACATCTTTGTATACATTCAAACAAGAATCATTACAAAGGTTGCCACAACGATGACCTCTTTTCAAAACATTTTCAAAACCACACACAAAGCACCATTTCAAACAATTGAAAAGCAAAAGCAAGTGATCTAAACAAGTAACTAAGAGCCCATGGATAACCATGGATGAAAAGGGTGCTTGCACCTTCCCTTTTCATAATCTACTCCCCGAACCCAATAAAACATCTCAAAGGTCTTTCCTGTGCTTTTTGACCTTTCCTTTGGATAAAATAAAAAGTCGGTGGCGACTCTTGCTAAACCGAAACATTTGCAAACACAAACACAAAACCTCAAGTCAGTTCTCCCACCGCATCACAGTGTCTGCTCGGGATTTGTCGATCATGTCGTCCATATACACCTCGAGCATATCCCCGATCTGGTCGTGGAACACTTTGTTCATCATACGTTGGTATGTTGCTCCTGCATTTTTTAGACCAAAGGGCATCACGTTGTAGTAATAATTGCCCGAGCTGGTCATGAAAGCAGTGCAATGCTTGTCGCTTACAGTCATTGGGATTTGGTTATAGCCTAAATAGGCATCCATAAACGACAGTATTTTATAACCGGCCGAGTTGTCGACCAGCATATCTATGTTGGGTAAAGGAAATGCATCTTTCGGGCATGCCCGATTGAGATCAGTATAATCAACACACATTCGCCACTTTCCATTATTCTTTTTGACTAGTACAACATTTGATAACCAGGTTGAATATCGGGCTTCGGAAATAAAATTTTCCTCTAGGAGGTCTTTTACAGCTTTTTCAGCCGCCTCCGTTTTCTCCGGGGACTGCCTACGCCTATGATGTACTACTTCCCTAGCGGCCGGATCTATGGCGAGGCGGTGACAAGAAACCTCGGGGTCGAGTCCGGGTATCTCTGCGGCACTCCACGCGAATAGGTCCGCATTCTCGCGCAAGCAGGCTTTGATTTGCTTCCTCGCCAAGTCGGGGAGGCCGATACCAATCTTCACTCCGTTGCTTGCGTCCTTTCCAAGAGGGACGAGTTCGAAGTCCCCGTCCGGAATTGGTCGATGGGGGACTTGCTCGCTGCTGGGAGGCTCATCCTGGTCGAAGCGGGTGTCCAGGGCTATCGAGTCGACCTTTGGGGGAGCCCTCTGCTCTTCTTCTACCTTGACGGGCTATGTCTTCTGAGGCTCTGGTCGTGTCGTTGTAGCTCTCTTGGCGGGCCTTGTACCGGTGTCGACCATATCGCGTCCCTTGGATGTCGCGTTGAAACACCTTCGGGCAGCTGCCAGGTCCCCTTGGATGGTGGCGACCCGTTCCCTCTTGGTGTAAAACTTCATATTCAAGTGGACGGTAGAGGGTATCGCGGTCAGTTATGCCAATGTCGGCCTTCCCAGAATGCAGTTATAGAGAGAAGGGCAGTCGATGACGAGGAAACACACCTTGACCTGCCTCGTTGTTGTATCCTCGCCAAACGTAACCATGAGCTCGACGTATCCCCAAGGTTTGGAAGTCGAGCCATTAAAGCCCTGCAGGTCTGACCCCACTTAAGGTGAGAGGTGCGAGTCGTCGAGCTGCAGGGTTCGAAATAGTTGGCTGTACATTACGTCGACAGAACTTCCTTCATCGACGAGGACGCGATGTACGTCAAAGTTGGCCATTCTCGCTCTTATTAGCAGAGGAATGACCGCGTTGGGGTCCCCTCCTGGGAGCTCTTCGAGATAAAAAGTGATAGGTTCCGACCTACCCTCCACCCTTTCAAAGGTCGTCGTCTGAGGAGGTGCCGTGTCGACCAATTCATCCAGCTTCCTCTTGGCTGAATTTATGGTCAGGTCGTTGAACCCTCCACTATTGATGACCATGGCAGAGGGAAAGTTCTCCCATCTGCTGTGCATCGACAGCGGCTCTTGCAAGTGTTCGGGGACGTAGAAGTCCCCGGATCTGGTGACGGAAAAGGCAGTTTGGATGGGGATCGACTCGTCAGATGGTCGGGCATCATCCTCTGTTTCTCTTATTTCACGGGCGTCGCGACGAGGAGCATCGTTTCGCTGGTACTGGGCGAGCCTCCCCCCTTTTATGAGGGTCTCGATGGCGTCCTTGAGGTGAACGCAGTCTTCAGTCAGATGGCCATGGCTCCTATGGTACTGACAGTATTTGCTCCTGTCCACCCCGGGCTTGGCAGAAGCTGGTCGGGGGCGCTTGACGCCGCCATCTTTGAAATCTGTATTGGCACACTCCGCCAAGATGCGCTCACGGGAAGCTGTGAGCGGAGTGTACTCTATGAAACGCCCCGAGGGCCCCCTCTATTCTCGGACGTCCCAGGGTTTGTCGTCCTTCCTTTTTTCCCCAGTTCGTCGAGGAGGGATGGCTTCCTGGCGCGGGTTGCTACTGGATCCGCGAGTTCTGGGGTCACGGGATCTGTTGGCCGCTTCCCTTTCCTCGTAATCCATGTAGGCCTTGGCCTTCTCGAGGAGAGCACCGAACGTTCAGGACGGTTCGATGCCCACAACCTTCCTGAATTCTGTGCCGGGGAGGAGCCCCCTTTCCAGCAGGTATCTTTTCATGTGGTCCGCGCAGGGGACCTGGATGGCTTCACGGTTGAAGCGGTTGATGAATTCTCTCAAGGCCTTATCCTGCCTCTGGATGATGGCCTCGAGCGCCGCTTCGGTCTTCGGATGTCGCCGTGACGCGGTGAACGAGCTTATGAATTAGTTTTTCAAGTTTTACCACGAGGTGATTGACCCCGGGGCAAGACCCTTGTACCAATCCATTGCCGCTTTCCTGAGGGTTGTGGGGAACAATCGGCATTTGATGGGTCCCCCGACATTATGGTAGTGCAGCATAGCCTCGAACTCGTCTATGTGATCGACCGGGTTGGAGACTCTATCATATTCTTTCATATGTGGAGGCTTTTCCATGCCCGGGGGAATGGGCGCCTCCATGATGGCTTGTGATAGGGGACCGCGAGGGTCGTCCTCATCACTTTGCTCCGGGGAGAGGGACGGGGACCTGAGGTATTGTCGAACACAATGGCCCTGATCGTGCTGGGCGTTCCTCGAGCGGTGCGTCCGTTGACACGTCCCTCCATGCCCGTCTCTAGGATGCCTTCGTTCTTGCCGTGAAAGGCCGTGGTCGCGCCCTCCGGCTTCAATGATTGACTCTCTCTCCAAGGCGGGTCGCCTCTCCGGTGGTCGGGGCGACGGGCTTCGAGAGATGCCTCTGTCTTGTCTCCGCGGAGGAGATCGGAGACGTTCTTCGAGGAGGTGGGGATTGAGGCCTCCTGTGTCTCCTCGGGGGCCTTCTGTTCTCCTCTAGTGCTCTTAGTCTTTCCCCTTGGGCAAAGATGAAGTAGTTGGTCTGGTTGATTGCCGCGAACAGTGCCCCGGTCGTGGCGTCTGCCCCGGCGGGGACATGAACTTGATAGAATTGAGCGGCTTGATGGTTCGGGGGAACCAGATTATCTTCTTTGAGTTGAAGGGGGACTGATGAAGACGAGGCCGTGGCTCCATCCCAGTAGTTGGAGATTCCGAGGATGTTTCCACCGGGAGCAGTAACATGGGTCGGGGTTGTTATCGGCGAGGTTATTGCTGGCCTCAAAGACACGGGCGTTCTGATTGTCTTGAATCTGGTCAGCCATGACGGTGTAAGATGGTTTTAGCTTTTGGTCTTTGAAGATTTGTAAGAAGGGGAAGCTTAGTTTCCCACAGACGGCGCCACTGATCTTACCAAATCAGAATTGGACCGTCACAGCTGGCTCGAACTGGATTTGAATGAGATGAGGGGTACCTGCAAGACACTCCGATGATAAAATGAGAGACGGAATGGGCAGACAGATAGTATGTAGGTGTGTAACAAATGAATACCTGACCCTCTTGAAGTAGAGGGTATTTATAGCCCCTAGCGCTGGGCCACGGTCCCTTTATTGGGCCGACCAGAGCTGGCCCAACAAAGGGACTGCCAGGTTCTACGTGTGTAGTGGGGATCCGCACGTGGTCCCCTTCCTAGGTGGTGCTCTGTGAAGAATGAGGAAGAATGAAGACGCGGTCTTCCTGGAGCTCTAAGGATATCGCAGCATCCGGAGGGGACTGAGTCTGCCCTACGGCGAGGATGCTCGAGCAAGGCTTGAGTTGGAGTATCCTCGGTCAGGGACGCTGCTCGTTGCGGGTAGCGGCGGACATAACCGTTGTGGCCTGTAACTGGGTATGCTCAGGGCGGTCTGATTCCGAGTATAGCTCGAGGAACTGCTTGGATCTGAGCCTTTACTTGTGTTTTGGGCCAAGGCAGACCTAGCCCAGAACAAGTTTAATAAAGTCACTTTTTCTTCTCTATCTAAAATAAAATTTTAAAATTAATTACTCAATTTTTATTAAATATTAATTTTTTTTATTTTAAATTTCTAAAAAATCAGAATAGATATTTTATTAGGGTCGAACTACAAATACAACAATAATATACGTCTGTACCAAAATATTTAACATTCATCTAATATTTTATTTTCGGAAAATGGTAAGAAAGTAAGAAATTAAAAAGGCAAAAATTAAATTTCAAACAAGTAAACATTCTTCTTTTTTTTATTCAAATGATTTTTACTATATATATATATCATTTTTTCTTATATCTCTCGTTTTATTACATCATCAATCTGTTATATCTAGTCTGTAAAAAAAAATTCTTATAAAAAATAGAGAAGCCGGACCAAAATAGTAGTTTCCTGGACATTTTTTTTGCAGTGAACTGTTCCCTTCATTTCTTCTCTCTATCTAATCTCCACTCTCAACTTCTCCTTGGCGCCATGAACCTATATATCTAACTCCCACACTCACTTTTGTTATATACTTATGGCGTATCAAAACCACCAACTCTCTCAAGACCATTTCACTCCCGATGACTCTACCACCAAACCAACCTCCGAACCTCACCAATCCTTCCAACCCGCACCCAACTGGCTCAACACCGCTCTCCTCCGTAACAACTCCCCAACCACCAACAACACCAGTACCAATTTCCTCAACCTCCACTCCTCCGCCGCCTCTCAATCCTCCTCCCATTGGCCGATGATTGACGACTCCACCATCTCCGGCATGAAAGCGCCGGAGAACGCCGACGCGGCAGCGGAGGGATTAATGAACTGGCAGAAAGCGAAATATAAAGGAGAAATAATGGCGCATCCGTTGTACGAACAGCTTCTATCAGCACACGTGGCGTGTTTGAGAATCGCCACGCCGGTTGACCAGTTGCCGAGAATCGATGCTCAGCTGGCGGAGTCACAGAATGTTGTTGCCAAGTACTCTGCCTTTGTTCAAGGCATGCTTGACGATGATAATAAACAACTCGATCACTTCATGGTATATCGTTAATTTCTCTAATTTATTTTTTTCAATAATAAAAGAATTGAATATTCAATAGCACAGTGATTTCTATATAAAAAAAAAGATTGAATTGAATATGAAATAATTTTGTACTGGAATTTACTTGTTTTACTGGCTTTAAATCCAGTGATTATTAATTTTTTTTACTGGAGTGAAGTTTTTTCTCTCATTATTCTACTTTTGTAAGGTTGAATGTAATAATGATTCTGATATTTAATTTGTCATGGTGTGGTGTGTGATTCCAGTTAAGGTAGACAAAGATGTTTAGTTTGGTATTTTCTGTTGTACTATTCTGATTTTGAAATTTTCCTCATTGATATTGTTTGTTGCAGTCGCACTATGTTTTGTTGCTTTGTTCATTCAAAGAACAGCTCCAGCAACATGTCCGGGTCCATGCAATGGAAGCAGTAATGGCTTGTTGGGAGATCGAGCAATCCTTACAAAGTCTAACAGGTGCTGCATTAATAATCTTCTTCGCGTGATTCTAGTAGTACATCTTAACATGGTAATAAAATCATTTTTAAACATTTTTCATTACAGAGGTAAGTGTAGAATAATTGATAGTCAAAGAGGAACATAGCTACATGGATTTAAAGTTTGTTCTTTGTCCCTTTTGATTTCTCTTGGATTTGGGAAACTTCAAATCTTAGTTAACTTTATTTCAAAAACTGTTCTAAAATGTATTGTAGACATTACAGTTATACTGTGTGGCCCATTTGTCCTTGCTTTTTTATAGACAGAATTGTCCATAGCATGTTATCATGCCAAACTATTACTCATAATTTCATAAACCTTTTTTTGTTAGATTAGTTACCAACTTGTTGTGCATAATAAATAGCAAAAGTACACAGCACTCTTTGCAATTGGAGATGATCACATGAGTACTGAATTAAAGCGATAGTTTTTGCCACATGGTTAACAGGAGTTTCACCCGGAGAAGGTACTGGAGCAACTATGTCTGAAGATGAAGATGAACAAGTAGACAGTGATACTAATCTGTTTGATGGAAATTTGGATGGTTCAGATAATAGTATGGGAGGATTTGGTCCTCTTGTTCTAACAGAGAATGAGAGGTCCTTAATGGAACGTGTAAGACATGAATTAAAACATGAGTTGAAACAGGTACCACTAAGAGTTGCATTAAATGTTGTTGAATAAGAAAGGTAGTAAATCAATTAGGATAATTGTTTGTTTTTCACAAGCTTACAAAATTAGTCACACTTCTTAGTTTTGAAGTCTCTCTTGAGCCCCATCTTTTCAGATTTCTTCTCAGGAAAAGGACCTTGAAATTCATGTCTTTATATGCAGGATTATAAAGAGAAAATTGTGGACATAAGAGAGGAAATTTTACGAAAGAGACGAGCAGGGAAACTTCCCGGTGACACGACCTCAGTCCTTAAAGATTGGTGGCAATCACATGCAAAGTGGCCTTATCCTACCGTAAGAATTCAATTTTGACTTACTAATTATTTCATGAGTTTACCTATTGTGAAAAACATTTTACGACATGTCAAAAAATCTTTTACCAATGAATATTTCAGGTTCATCTTTGATATTGTGACATGTCAAAAAATCTTTTACCAATGAATATTTCAGGTTCATCTTTGATATTGTGTCGTGCCTTTTTCAGGAAGAGGATAAGGCAAGGTTGGTACAAGAAACAGGTTTGCAATTGAAACAGATCAATAATTGGTTTATCAATCAAAGGAAGAGAAACTGGCACAGCAATCCTTCAACTTCTAATGTCATGAAAAGCAAGCGCAAGAGGTATTTTATTTCATAGTATTATAAAATATTTGTCATTTTCATGATCTTAAATTAGCACCAATATCTAATTAGAAAGAAGTAATGCATGCAGGTGAAAAAAAGTGATAGTTACATATAAATGGAAGCAAACTCGAGAAATAATACCTCAGAATGGCAGCAGATCCAACAAAATTCAATGAAAGGTGAAAAAAGAATCACATTTTGCTTCTGATCAAGGGACAGGGAGGGTACAGAGGTTAAAACAGAGATGAGGACGCTTGAAGACCTGCAGTAGAAGCACCTAGGATGCAACAAAAAGTTTACAAATATTTTTATCTCTAAATATAACATCTTTTCAAAGTAGTTATTTATCTTCTTTCTTTCAGTCCCTATATTTAACAAATCAGCTTGAGTTTATTTTTTCATTATCTTTAGGAATTCAAAATTAAAAACGAAATAAAAACTGCATAAAGACTCGTGTTATTTCTTATTTGTAAATGATATGAGAGTGAAAACAAAGTTCTTAAACTCTTATGATGTCCTTGGTGGGAGGATGAATTAGTGAGTTTGGGTTCTAATTAAACGGTTAAAAATATAATGTTTGAGATAAAGAACAATAAACAATGATTGTTGGAAATTCACCAAAGTCTATGATGAATTTCTACCACAATGACAATTTAATTATGAGACAAACAAAGAAAGAAAACAAGACAAATAGTTTCTGTTGTTCACGAACTGTGAAAACTTTCTTATTCACTTTACAACTGCAAAATATTGTGAATGACTTGTTTATAAAAAATTGGGGTTACTTCTTCTATTTATAATTGAGTTTGCACCCAAAGTCCAAAGTCTAAAATATCTATTTTGTTACTAAATCAAATATAATCTATTCTAGGCTTAAATCAAATCTAGTTAAATCTAAACAAATCTAATCTTTTCGACACTATGAATTACAATTTAACACACCACCTAATTCATTGTGTCTAAACTATCTATATTCATCATGACTCTTAGCCTTCTGAATACTTCGACTTGCACTCCCTTCGTCATGATGTTTGCAATCTGATTCTCAGTTCTGCAGTGTTTCAAATTCATCTTCTCATCTGCTACCTGCTCTCGAAGATAATAGAACCTCATTTCGATGTGCTTACTTCGACCATGTGCTATTGAATTCTTCGCCAAATTGATAGCTGACATGCTGTCGATCTTCATGGTAATTGCTCCATGATCTTTCCCTGTTATCTCTTCGACCAAGTTCACCATCCAAGTTGCTTGACATACACAAAGAGAAGCAGCTATGTATTCTGCTTCGCGTGATGATAATGCTACTACTGATTCCTTTCTTGAATTCCAAGCAACTGGTGCACCACCTAGCATAAACACATATCCTGCTGTTGACTTTCGATCTTCAGTATCACCCCAGCAACTCGAATTAGTGTATTCCACTAACTTGCATTCTTTTCCTTTATCAGCTGCATAAAATAAAACTCCATAATCGAAAGTTCCTTTGAGATACTTTAGTATCCTCTTAACTGCTGCTAGATGTGATACCTTTGGCTTCTGCATGAATCTACTTACCATACATACACTATATGCTAAGTCAGACCTTGCATGACAAATGTATCTCAATGATCCAATAAGTCTTCTGTATTGAGTTGGATCAACATCATCTTCATCTGCATCTTTCGACAGTTGCAGTCTTGGTTCTGCAGGTGTCGAAGATAAGTTGTATTCTTCCATCTCAAACCTCTTGAGTATTTCTCCTGCATATCTTCTTTGATGCATCACCAAACCTCTATTACTCTTGTAGAATTCGATACCAAGGAAATATGAAATCTCACCCAAATCAGACATTTCGAATTCCTTACTTAGACCACCTTTGAAATCTTCGATCTCACTTTTGTAGCTATCTGTTATCAACAAATCATCTACATAGAGACATAGTATAAGAAATTTACTCTTGCTTCTTCTTGCATATACTCCATATTCAGTTGCGCACTTCACAAATTTCTTCTCCCTTAGGAAACTATCAATTTTCTATTCCAAGCCCTTGGAGCTTGTTTTGATCCATACAGGGCTTTATGCAGCCTGTCCACCTTTCTTTCTTCGTCATATTTCACAAATTCAACTAGTTGTTTAACATAGACTTCTTTGTCTAAGGGTCCATTTAGGAATGCACACTTCACGTCCATCAGACATATGTGCCAACTGTTTATTTCTGCTAGACCAACAACCAACCTGATTGTTTCGATCCTAGAAACAGGTGCAAAAACTTCATCAAAGTCTACTCCTTCTTTCTGTAGAAATCCTTTTGCCACAAGTCTTGCTTTGTGTCGAGTTACTCCCCCTTTCGAATTCGTTTTCACTTTGTATACCCACTTGACATCAATTTCCTTCTTGCCTTGAGGCAATTCGATAAGTGACCAAGTGTTGTTATCTTCGATAGGCTTCACATCTTCGTTCATTGCTTTCACCCACTTCGAATCCTTCAATGCTTCAGCTGCATTAACAAGTTCGACATCTGCATAGAAAGCATAATGTACCAGCTCACCTTCATCATCTATCACATCATCTGATGTAATCACACAATCTTGCAATCTTGCAGGCATGCGTCTTGTTCTTTGAGGTCTGCTTGTATTTGGTATATCAGCTGGTTCCTCTTGTCGAACTTCTCTTTCGAATCGAGTTTCTGGTTCTTCGAATAGGATTCCCACTGAATCTTTCTTGACATTTTCAGTCTAATCCCATTCTTTAAACTCATCTATGATCACGTCCCTGCTGATCACAATCTGCTTTTTCACTGGATCGAACAACTTGTAGCCTTCTGTCAAATGATATCCAACTAGAATCATTTGACTTGACTTATCATCAAGTTTTCTTCTCAACTGATATGGCACATGTCTATGTGAAATAGATCCAAATAACTTCAGATGACTCAAGCCAGACTTCACACCAGACCAACATTCTTCTGGAGTAATTCCTTCTAGCTTCTTTGTAGGACATCTGTTCAAAATATATGTTACAGTCGAAACAACTTCACCCCAAAACTCTTTAGGTAAATTCTTGTCTTTCAATATACTTCTCACCATATTCATGATGGGTTGATTCTTCCTTTCTGTAATTCCATTTTGTTGTGGAGTATAGGGTGGCACCACCTCATGCACAATCCCTTCATTTTCACATAGCCCGTTGAAGTCTTTCAACACATATTCTCCACCATCACCAGTTCTCAAAACTTCGAGCTTTCGAACACTTTGTCTTTCGACCATAGACTTAAACTTGGCAAATACTTTGATCACTTCACTTTTCTTCTTGATCAGATAAGTCCATAACTTTCGAATGAAATCATCTATGAATGTAACAAAGTATTTGTTACCTCCCATAGAATCCACCTGGATTGGTCCACATACATCAGAGTATATGACTTCAAGACTAGCCTTCGACCTGCTTCCTGCATCCTTGCTGAAGCTATTCTTGTGTTGCCTCGCCTGCACACATTCCTCACATACCTCGTTTGGAATGTCGATTTTTGGAAATCCTGAAACCATATTTCTTCTCTTCAAATCTCTGATGTCTCTGAAGTTGAGATGACCTAGTCTATAATTCCATATCCATTCATCTCTACTAGCTGCAGTCGAAAGGCAGTTGTGCTCCATCACATTTAGTTCAATCTTGAAAGTTCGATTCAGAGACATATGAGCCTTCAATATTAATCTCCCATTTGCATCAATGACTCTCATCATCTTATCTTCGATTGACACTTTATAATTCTTTTCAATCAACTGCCCTATACTGAGCAAATTGCTTTTCATGCCTGACATGTACAATACATTAGAAACTACTGACCTCTTGCCATCTTTCCTCATAATCATAACATCACCAATACCTTCAGCTGCTAGAGTATTGTCATTTGCAAATTTTACCATATTTTTGTTGAGGGCTTTATGTTGACAAACCAGTCTTTCTTTCCAGACATATGTGATGAACATCCTGAATCAAAGTACCATTGGTACTTGAATCTATCTTCATCTTTTGTTGTGACCATCAGCATCATCTCTTCTTCATGTTTTGCAAGCTTTACATCACTTTCTTGATTCTTTCATTTTTTGGACAATCACTCGAATAGTGACCATACTTCTGACAATTATAACATTGAATGTAACTCTTATCAGGTTTTCGACCACCACCTCTTTCTCTATTTGCAACACCACCTCTTTGGTTTCCTTGGTATGGTCTTCTTTGATTCAAAAAGTTTTCTTCGTTCTGGTTTCCTCTACCATTCGATTTTTTGTATCCACCTCTACCTCTATCAAAACATTTTCTTTTGCCTTTGGTTTCTTTTGCTGAATGTGCCTGCAAATCCACATCACTCTTCGATTTTCCTGCAGCTCTTTCGTTCATTGTTTGTTCATGAGATTCAAGCGTCCCTTGAAGCTCTTCCTTTGTCAATTTCAACAAGTCTTTCCCCTCTTCTATCGCCACCACTATGTGGTCGAACTTAGGAGCTAAAGATCTCAAAATCTTCGAAACAACAGCTCTTGTTGTTAATATTTCTCCACATGCCTTGATTTGATTCACTAGTTTTGTAACTCTAGTGAAGAAATTAGATATGCTCTCACTATCTTCCATCTGAAGCAATTCATAGATTCTCTTGTGAGTTTGTAACCTCACTTCTTTTACCTTTTATGCACCATCAAAGGATTTCTCAAGGACATCCCAAACTTCTTTTGCAGATTCTAAATCACTTACTTTTTCAAAGTTTTATGGACTCACACATTGATGAATTATAAATAGTGCTTTATAACCCAACTTCTCAATTTCCGTGTGTTTCTTCTTTCCTTCTTCTGAAGAATTTTCTCCAAGCGCTTCGACTCCATCTTTTACAAGGTCCCAAAGCCCTTGACATCTGAACAACACTTTCATCTGTTTGCACCAATTCTCATAGTTGTCTACTTTCATAATTGGTAGAGTTGTTGAACAATTTGCATTCCCATAATTCGCCATCGTGAATTCTTTAATCGTTCTTGATTGATACTTCCATCGAATCGAAACAAAGCTCTTGATACCAAAGTCTATGATGAATTTCTACCATAATGAAATTTTAATTATGAGATAAACAAAGAAACAAGACAAGACAAATAATTTCTGCAGAGTTTCTCTCTGCTCACAAACTGTGAAAACTTTCTTATTCACTTTGCAACTGCAAAATATTGTGAATGACTTGCTTACAAAAAATAGGGGTTTCTCCCTCTATTTATAACTGAGCTTGCACCCTAAGCCGAAAGCCCAAAATATTTATTTTGTTACTAAATCAAATCTAATCTATTATAGACTTAAATCAAATCTATTTA